GTGTATGTACATAGGAACATTTTTCAACTGTAATTCTGTAAAGAAGTAAACTTATTGATATGCCACATTGTTGCTGCCACAAATGCCTGAAGCACTGTAAATTACATTAATTTACATCATCATATTTTACTCAACTGTTTTTAGCACTGTTTAGGGAACATGTGAGGTTTTCTCTGCTGACCTCTTGTTCTGAGACTCCTAGTTTCCTGGTTGTCATGCTCAGCCAGTGTCTTCAGTACTTCACAGATCTCTGGCTGGGAAAAAGCATGCAGATCAGCTTGCCAGCACACACTGGGATTACTCCAGAGGACCCTGCAAGGGAAAGGAGCCACCCTAAAACAGGATATCAGGACCAGCATTAAGGGGACCAGTTGATTCTGCAGGAAACTAAACATCAACATCAAGAAGTAGCATCCCTTGTAACTGATTTAATCAGCATTTGAAATACATTGTAAACATTTTCACTTTAATATCACTTTAAGCATAACAGCCAGGCAACAAGTAGTTTCAGGAGGTCAGCATTTAAAAAAGAAATTAATTAAAAAGAACCAATGATAATTTGCTATATGTTATCAGTTATAACAAATGTATGTATGTATGTATATATATATCCCCCCATTGCACCCGGCCGACCAGCCCGCCCGCCCCCATGATCGGGTGGCCGCTCGCTTCTCCGAGGCCACTATGAGCAGTGCTCCCGCTCTCTGACGATCACCCGGCTGTCATCGGGCGGCCGCTCGCTCCTCCGAGGCCACTGCGAGCGGCCCTCTACAGTGCCTGATTGGGGAGCCGCGTCTGCCTGATCCAGCCAGCCCGCCCGGATTGCCGCTATGCTATTTAAATATTTATCCGTCAACCTTGCTTTCTTTACTTACTTTTTCAGTGTCTGACTTTTAGCTTGTGTCAGGGGATGAAAAGTCATCTGTAGTCTGATGGTTGCAATCATGAAAACTGCCTGACCTTCCAAACTGCACACTTGGAAGCTGGGGAACAGAATGTGAGCTCAGGCAGTTGACTTGGTAGCAACTCTCAGGAGTCAGTTAAACTTTCACCACTTAAGACATGCTGAAGTGTCAAACAGAGGCATGGAAATAAAGCTGAATGAAGGGGCAATGTAAACTCCTTTATAAAACAAAAGTCAGCTCAGATATATATTAAAGTTTGAGTGGAAGTATGCTCGCCTTTCCTCCAGCAATGCCCATCCGTGAGGTCCCTCCGCAGAACCGACATATTCGCCCAGTCTTCTTCCAGGTTCAGGATCAGGAAGCTAAGATGACATAACTCCTGCAGATGTACAGAAGTTCATTCATCCTGGCATATGCCAAAACTGCACATGCACAGCTCAGTGTACCTTGTCGATAAAAAGGTGAACAGGCAGGTGCGAGTCCTTTATTGCAGAGGAGACATGGTATATCTCTTCTGCAATAAAAAGCCTGCCTGAATACCCTTTGTCAATTTTTACTTAAAGTATTGCTAAAGGCTAGGTGTTTTTACCTTAATGCATTCTTTGCAGTAAGGTAAAAAATGCCCATGACCTTTTTGACTCCCCCGTCCCCCCACACTGACCTGTCAATGCCACATGTCACCACCACCAGTCCCGAAGCGATCCTCCATCCTGAACTTCCTGGTTGCGGGGAAGGCTACTGAGGGCAGAGGAGCCATAGGCTCCTTCTGTTGTCTTTAAAACTGTTGGGCAGGGAGGAGCGGTGTGGCCTGCCACAGGGCTGTGTGTGTCAATGGGCACACACAGCCACTGTGGGCACGGCCGGGAATGCTGCTGTGTGTGTCTATGGGCACACACAGCCACTGTGGGCACGGCCGGGAATGCGCATGTACGGGTGCCTCCACAGCAGCCGCTTAGCTGATAGAGGCACCCATGCAGGGGGCAGGGGGGAGAGCTATGCGGGGAACCACTAGAAAACTAGGAACTAGTATTAATGACAGCCTCCCACTCATAAAAAAATAAAGATGTAATATCACTTTAAAGCTCCATATTGATGTTCAGAATCCTGCTGTGCTTGATGTTGTATATAATGATTCTACTACAGTGGATGCTGGGAGAAAAAAGATGGTGTTGTAAATTATATATGGGAAGACTAGGATCACAAGCAATCTGCTGGAGTTAACTCAGATAATATTCATCTGCTTAAGCCATTAGAATACATTACATGCCATGCAACTGCAGGTTACCATAATTAATATGTTATTATAAACTCCTGAACTCCATTTTAAAGCTTTAAAATTAAAAATCCTACATAAGAGTAAACATCACAAGATACCTTCTTATATCCCTATTTTATTTACAGGGTTATTCACAAAAGGGTGAAGGGTTTGGAATAGGCAGGAGAAGTGAGCAATCTAGGACAACATAGCTGATTTGGAAAAATTCTCCAATTCAGCTCACTTTCCAGTTCAGCTATGTTGTCCTAGATTGTTCACTTCTCCTGCCTCCTACAAACTCTTGACACTTTTGTGTATAACCCTGTCAGTTTCATGTAGTTACTGGAGCCTGATTTTTTTGGCTCAGCCTAGCCAATTGCCTTGCCAATCCTCAATGAGACTAATACAATCATTTAGGCATAGTTCACACCAGATGCAGTTGCGATGCAATCTGTTCAATTTGGCTGCTGCAGCCAAAATACATCATAATACTTTCCTATGGGATTTCTGGAGCTCTATTCACACCAGTGCAGTACATTCCGATGCAGTCAGAAAAAATACTGCTTGCCCTATTCTAGCTGCATCAGATCGCAACGGAACGCATCAAAAACGCACTGGAACGCACCTGAAATCCCATTTTAAGCAAAATAAAACCTGCTCAAAAAATGCATCAATCATGGTAAAATCATGGCAAAACGCATCACACTGCAGCTGCGCAGACGCATGCAGTTCTGGTGTGAACTAGCCCTTAGTTATTTGTAGACCTACCAGAAAGCTTATGCAGCACGTAGCTGGCCCTTATGCAGGAAGCAATGTGTGACAAGTAAGCAGAGTCACCACATCCAACATAGGAATGTCTTAAAGACACCAAAAAGCACAAATGATGTAACCGTAAAAATATAGAAATTTACAGTGATGTAGTCAGTCAGAGACCACTCCATCAACATGTTTTCATGCATTGACACAAAAATCTGGTAAACTAGCAGCAGGCCCTGCAAGACCAAAACAATGCCAATATTCATTCTGACATTCTGGGGCTAAATATGCACACCTCCACCCTAAAAAGATAAAAACACACTTTACTCTGATGATAGCAGCTCTTTAGTTAGTGTTTATACATTTTAAATGTGGTTTGTGTTAACAAATTTGGAGTTAGTCTTTGTAGTCATGTGTGAATGCCTGACTTTAATAACTGCACCAAATTACTTTATGTATATAGAGTGCAACACAATTTTCTCCTTTTTGGAAATGTCTCTATAGATCCTAAGTGCTTCCTGTAGCTGGGCAACTAACTACAAAATACACTTTTTGTCATTATATGCTATAACATAACTAAATACATTATACATTACATACTAAAAAATAAAGGCCCAGCTTAAAACAGCTGGACAACTATTGCACCACTAAATGATTCTTAAAAGGTTAGTCCCTTATAAATACAGTCATGGCCAAAAATATTGGCACCCCTGCATTTCTGTCAGATAACGCAGCACTTTGCGCAGAAAATTGTTGCAATTACAAATGTTTAGGCATTCTCGTGTTTATTTCTTTGGTTTTGTATTGATATGACACAAAAAAGTGGAAAAAAAAAAGCCAAATCTGACACATTCCTCGCAAAACTCCAAAAATGGACTGGACACAAGTATTGGCACCTTCTCCAAATTGCAAGAAAAAATTGCATTCCAAGTTTTTGTGGAAAAGCATGGACAATCCCAAGGTTACAAGACCATCTCCAGAGATCTTAATGTTCCTGTGTCTGTGCACAACACTGTCAAGAAGTTTACAGCCCATGGGACCGTAGCTAATCCCCCTGGACATGGACGAAAGAGAACAATTGTTCAAAGATTGTTCAAATGGAGGATAAAGACCCTCGTTCAACTTCCCGACAAATTCAAGCTGACCTTCAGGCACAGGGTACAATTGTGTCAGCTTGCACTATACGTCGCCATCTGAATGAAAAGGGACGCTATGGTAGGAGACCCAGGAGGACCCCACTGCTGACACAGAAATATAAAAAAGCCAGATTGGAGGAAGCCAAAATCCTTTTGGGAGAATGTGCTGTGGACAGACGAAACAAAATGACAGCTTTTTGGTAAAGCCCATCATTCTACTGTTTTCAGAAAAAGAAGGCCTTGAAAGAAAGAAATACAGTCAAACATGGTGGCGGTTCACTGATGTTTAGGGGTTGCTTTGCTGCTTCAGGCACTGGATGTCTTGACTGTGTGCATAGCATTATGAAATCTGAAGACTACCAAAGAATTCTAGGGTGCAATAGGGCCCAGTGTCAGAAAGTTGGGTCTCCGTCAGAGGTCATGGGTCTTACAGCAGGACAATGACCCAAAGCACACGTCAAAAAGCACCCAGAAATTATTTCAGACAAAGCGCTGGAGAGTACTGGATTGGCCAGCAATGAGTCCAGATCTAAATCCCATTGAGCACTTGTAGAGAGATCTCAAAACAGCAGTTGGTAAAAGGAACCCCTCCAATCTGAGAGACCTGGAGCAGTTGGCGAAAGGACAGTGCTCCAAAATTCCTGTAGAGAGGTGTAAAAAACTAATTGATGACAGAAAGCGATTGATTTCAGTTATTTTTTCCAAGGGCTGTGCTACTAAATATTAATTGAGGATGCCAATAATTTTGTCCAGTCCATTTTTGGAGTTTTGCGTGGAATGTGTCAGATTTAGCTTTTTTTCTCCACTTTATTGTGCCATACCAATGCAAACAAAAGAAATAAACATGAAAATGCCTAAACATTTGTAATTGCAACACTTTTCTGCGCAAAGTGGTGCATTATCTGACAGAAATGCAAGGGTGCCAATATTTTTGCCCATGACTGTATACATGAAATTAAAGATTATTTTCCTTTCATACTAAACTATTAAGATTTGTGATATTAGTGCAAACAACTTTTTATTTGCCTGGTAACTCTAGAGAAGGCATCACTGCAGCTTTAGTACTGTTTTGGAGTATTTAGTACACTTCTTACACCTTACATATTTGTAGGCATGGTTAACAGTCTGTGAGTTACACTTGTAGTGCATTTCAGAAGTTTTTTGGTCCTAGGTGGAGTTCACAAAAGAGTCAGATGGTCTTCATTCCCTAATTGCAGCATCTCACCACCAAGTGATCTTGAATTCATAGATTGGGCGTTTGCAGTAATAGTGATTAACAAGGTGCTTGTCACAAACTCCAATACATTGGTGTTCCACGGATATGCCCCTCTCGGAGAGGTCGCTAACTATACAGTGCAGAAGATCATATACATCAGCCACTGCTTCCCAGGGACCAAAAGACACATCAACTTCGCAGTGGTGCTCAAAGTGGTTTGACTCAGTATCATTCCTCTCAAATCGTAGTGCATTAAATTGAGGGCACTCATAAGGAGTAATAGGCATCTCTTCCTTGAAGACACAGATCTTCAGCTTAGCAAAGCGCGCCTTTCTCTGTATAGCTCGAAGCTTTCCAATTTCAATGATACGCTCCAAGTGATCTTTGAGAGAAAAATTTTGAGAACATTTAAATCCGATCAAAAATACTCAGATTTGCACACTTTAAACATGGTTACTTAACCTTCAACATACTCTTAAAAAAAAGCACCTACAGTAATAACATTTTCAACAGAAACAGATTTTTAATTAAGGTGAAATAGATCTCTGTTAAGGCAATAATTATAATCAAAAAACACAAAATATAACTTTGCACCTCTGAGTTAGTATTTAATACAGAAAATGTTTGGCAGCAATTACAGCTTTGAGTCATTGTGTATCAGTCTATATCAGCTTTGTACAGCTGGACATTGGACGTTTTCCCCATTTATCTTCAGAAAACTGCTCCAGCTTTGTTAGGTTGCAAGTAAATCGTATGTAAACAGTTTTTTTTCATGTCTAGCCACAAATGCTGTATTGGATTGAGATTTGGACTCTGACTTATACATTTCTGGAAATAAGTAGATGAGGACAAATCTTCTCCCAAGGCTCGTGGCTTTTGCAAACTGTATAATTTTTTTCTGAATTGTTTTTCTGCATTCATTCTACCGTCTACTATCACAAACCTTCCAGGGTCTTTAGCAGAAAAGCATTCCTACAGCATGATGCTGCCAACACAGTGGAGATGGTGTGTGCAGAATTTGGCTTTGCCAAGCAAGGAATTTGGTCTAATGGCCAAAGAGCTTATATTTGGTCTAATCAGACAACAGACTTCAAAATCTCTTGTATCCCTTCTGTCGAACTGTAGGTCAAATACTTGTGAGTTTTAGTTACCAGGGGCTTTTTTTGCCACTTTCCTATAAAACTTTGCCTGATGATGCACCCCGGCAACAACTGTTGTAAGCATTATAGCCAATAGTAATGTCCCAATGCTTTTCAATGGGAATTTTTTTTTTTTCTATTCTGACATCGCTTGTGTCAGAATAAAGAAAAAAAGGCGCAGCAGTGTTTCTCTCCTTGGCGGCCGGGAGCAAGAGACTCCCGGGGCGCCAGGGAGAGTTAACTGTTTGCAGATCAGTGTCCCTGGTTAGCAGGTAACCAGGGACACTGATCTCTCTGAAAGTGGCCGGAGCCAGCCGTAAGATCACGGTTGGCTCCGCCCAGCTGTCAGAAGCAGGCTGTCGGCCGGCCAGCTTCGGCTTTCAGCACGGCTCAGCCGAGCTGATGCATATGCGTTCGGCTCGACTGAGCCGCTCGGCCATGATCGGGAGCTGTACGGGCTATTGTGAATAGCCCGTACTGCACCCCTTCGGTTCTACTGAACCGAAGGGGTCCTGGGGCCGAAGCTAGCCGAAGGATCGGCCGAAGCTACGGCCAGATCCTTCGGCAGCTTCGTGAATAGACTTCGTCTCAGCTACTAGACTGTTCTTTTACCTGGTATATTTTATGACACAATACTCACCAGAAGTTGGTCCTTCCAGATATACATGTATTTATACTACAATCACTGAAAATCCATTGACTACACATAGGTAATCTCAATTTAACTTATGTGGTTATGTAAAACAATTGGCTGCACCAGTCATGATTTTGGTGTTTTATATTAAATGCAATATATACTTATCTGGTTAGTAATTTTATGTTTCTATAATATTATTTCAAATCACTTTGCAGAGATCTTTTTTCACAACATACAAAAAAATTAAATCAACAGTGATTCAATGTTCTATGACCATAAAAGATGCAAACTTCCAAGAGAGTGAATACCTTTTAGAGGTACTGTAAACTTACGGCACTGCATAGGTCAAAGGGTGCAATCCACATTCTCCAGTTTAGTTGGTGGTTTCAAATTCACTTACTGATGATCAGCAATGTATAGGCTAGATATAAACATTCAAGGTACATCAGACATTCAAAATGAACTAACGGCCTAACAATCATTGTATTGAGTCAGCTGAAAACAAATGTCCCTACTGTTTGGAAAAAAGTATCGGTACTCGTACTCGGCCTTAAAAAAGTGGTATCGGTGCATCCCTAGTACAAACACTATAGCATCCTAGGCAGTAGAAGAAGCATTTTCTGGACACCTAACTTTAGAACATCTCCCCAGATAGCAAGGATAACTTGGCACAAACTTGTGGCAGGGTTAAATTGTAATTCTTGTTAACTTGCTGCACACATTCCTGGCAAGTTGTAGACTCGCAGAACACTTGCAGCACAAGTTTTAGTTGACACTTTTTGAATTTGTAGCACATTTGCTTGGCAAGTCCACAGCTAGAGTCCTGCAGGTATTAGCAAGAGCTCTGCAAGTGTACAGCACTTTTGCAAAGCACGTTGATCTGGAGACTTGCACTGCAGACGTGCTGCAAATGTGCAACAAAATTGTGAAGCTTGGCAAGTCTGCAATAGTTTAGCAAGTCATTTTCAAACTTGCAGCTCAATTGCTTGCTATCTGGGTCTATAGCATCTCTGCAAAGCAAAAATCTTGACTCACAAGAATCAAAGTAAAGCAGCCTCCACTTTGGTGGTATAGCTAACTACCCATCTGCAAGGAAGTATATGCTGGCAAAACAACTAGAAAAGAACAAAGTACCTATGTTAAAGAGACACTGTCACCATGCCCTTTAAGGAAAATGTGATATTTCTGAAGAATGCCCCCTGACCCCCATATGCTCCTTCGCAGTGGGCGATAATACCTGGCCTGCTTCCATGTGATGGTGCCTAGTAGCCCATTGACTGGTCACTGTTGACAATCTCTCTGTCAGTACATTTTGTAAAAATGTACCCAAGTAGCACAGCTAAAGTAACCACATTACATTATGAACATGTATTATTTATTTTCTTTTTGCTAAATCGTTAGGTTAAACCAATGTACGTACCTTTGTAGTAAGGCATCAGGTCAAGAAATGCTTGTCTGACTTTCTCTCCAGTAAGTGGTTGCATTTTGTCTAAGATGTCAAGCAGTGGGCCAACTGAGTAGTACTGGGCCTCCTTGTACACCATTTTCACACGCTCTCGAGGAGGGAGCTCTCCACAACGTAAGAAGTTTAGGATGTCACTAATAATGCAAACATTTAGTCATACCAGGTGAACAAATACATGTAAAAAATAAGTTAAATACAATGAGGGGGGAATTTATCCAAACTGGAGCAGTCAGAAGCAGATTGGTTGCTATGAGCAATTGCTTCAGATTCTATCTTGCTTGTTCAGTTAAGCTTTAAAAATGAAATCTAGAAGCTGATTGGCTGCCAAGGGTAACTGATGCAGATTCCATCTGCTCCAATTTTGATACATTCCCCTCAATTAATATGTTAGAGGGAACAATCTGTGCTGCTATTTATGTACAACAATTTTATTCCTATAATACCCTGATGTGTTAAGTGTTTTTGATGCATTCTTGACCTTTTCAAATGACTAACACTCCAGTGTTTGTTCAAGTGCTACACATTATTATCCTTTGTGCCCTGGGGGCATAGTAAGTATACATTTGCAAGACTTTTTTTCTTCACATTTCATTCAGTTCTCTTGGAGGGCATAATGATGCCAAGGAACACTGCAAATACCATTTTTATGTGAGCTGGAAACAAGAAAGGTGTTATTACTTGCAGACGTGTAGCCATTTGTTAATGAGGCCCTGTCACCAACTCAAAAAAATTCAGATAAAAGCACAAAAAAGTATTTTAAATGCTTACATTTAGTGTTATTCCTTTCCATTAATAATTGTGACAACTCCAGGAAGAGTCAATTCCCTAGCATAGCACGCTCCCTCCTTGCACGTCATAGCCCTCCCCTCTTCTGGGAATGACTAATTACTCTCTGTGCTGATCCAGCTCCTCCGTCCCTCCCATACATTTTTATGTAGCTGCCAGGGAAGGAGTGAAGGGGAATACTATAGAATGTCACTTGAGTCTGCTGGGACTCCTGATATCACATCCATGATGGTGGCACACAACAACAGTCTCAGGCTTTTGGATGTCTACACAAGAGAGGCTTCGACAGGTAAACAACATGCATAAGTTAAATGCACATATAACCTCATAGTTAGATTTTGTTGATATGAATGGTCTGGCGACAGGGTCTCTTTAAAGCCACACTCTGGGAAAAATGATAATTTACACACTGCAATGGATGTGTAAATTATCATTATAAGCTGTGTGTTATATGCAGAGGCCCTGTATTTTTTACAAAAATACACGGCATTCTGTGATTGGAGGAGGGGCGGGGATGTGACATCTCTCCTCCTTCAATCACAGAACACCTTGGGTTCTTTGATAAAATAAAAGACATTTTATGAATGGACAATAGTGAAGAGGGGCAGGTGATGCAACCTGTGATACACTGTATAAGCTCAGGTTGCCACTCTCCTTCTCCTCAGTGTTCAGAGGATTGACATTGTATGCAGAGGACAGCATGCTGCAAGGTAAGATTTTTATACTTTGCAGCCGCCCTCTGCACATAACACACAGCTTTGTAAATTATAATGTTTCCCAGAGTGTGGCTTTAAGTGGTGTAAGTATAGAATGTAAAAAACGTGTTTGGCTAGGTGCAATTAGCTTGCTTGTTTCTGCTAAAAGATACAGTGTTGCTTACATAAATGCATTATATATAGCAATGCATAAGTATAGTTCTCAGCTATATATCTCTGCCACTGGACAACTCTATTCCGACTGTGAAGTTAAAACTTACTGTTCCTTCTTGTGTGAGGAAGTTACATAGTTACATAGTATTTGAGGTTGAATAAAGACACAAGTCCATCAAGTCCAACCTATTGTGTGTGCATTTATGATGGTGTGTGCGTGTGTATAAGTTCATGTGTGATTTTGCTCTTAGCAGTACCTGTACCCCCGAATGTTATGGTCTCCAAGGAAATCGTGTAATTGTTTCTTGAATCGTAAACATGTCACAAGAAAGAGACAAACACTGCCTGATTGTTGGGTACCTCGCCTAGGAAGCTCAGTGTTACCCTCAGCATCAGCTGCTCCTGATAAGCTTGCGCTATAGGCCCCCGGAGAATAAGAACGGCTAAAGACATCTCTACAAGCTCTGGCAAGCCTTTGATTGCCTGTACCCATGTAACAATTACAATTACCAGGAGACTATAGCAAGCTGGAAAAACTACGAGAAACTAGATATTTGAAATAAATTTGCCTGAAGCATATGTAAAGACAAAATTTTAAAAAACATGTTTAGTACATCTCAGCAATGCATGCACATTTCCCCATGTTTTATCCCTTCAAACACGCTGCACGTACAGAAAATAACCGTTGATGTGCCACAACTATAGTGTGATCCCAACTTCCTCTTTCACATGACAACACAGTGGCGAGAATGTATCCAAAATGAAGCAGACAAAATCTAGAGCAGTTGCCCATAGTAGCCAATCAATTTCTCTCTTCTGTTTGTTCAATTAAGCTTTGAAAATGAAAGAGAGAAGCTGATTGGTTGCAACTGCTCCAGATTCTGCCTGCTCCAGTTTTGATAAATTCCTCTCAGTGTATTTTTGGCTCTGAATTCCAAAGCACATGGTGTCAGCCCTGCCTACTGCATTTCTGATGGATTGCAAAGAACACATAACACTTCTTATATTCCACCCCTCGTCCGTATCTCCATAACCCCTCCACCTCATCTCCACAACCCATCCTGCTAATTCCCATAACCCCTTTTCATCATCTCTATAACCCTTCCTGCTTATCTCCATAACCCTTCCTGCTCATTCCCATAATTCCTCTTCGTCATCTCTATAACCCCTCCTCCTCCTCTCCATAACCCCTCCTTGTGCTCAGGCAAGGAGCACAGGAAGTGATCAGCTCCCAAGCTTTTTGGCAAAATCACCAGGTATTTTTTGCAATTATCAGACAGATGTGACAAAAAAAACTTTCAATGGTATATTTAGCAGACAAAACGGGAGCAAATAAGAAAAGTTTCATCGTTAGTGTTTACATACACATTAACATAGCTCCATAATTACAGCTGCTTCACCACAATGACCTATGTAAGGTATCATGGGAATGAGACAAAAGCCTGTGAAGTTACAAGCTATCTCCATTTCCTGCTTAGTAAGTAGATTCCTTTTTACACAAAAAGTGTCTTATTCATAAATGGGTAAAATTCTGCTTCCTAGCAATCTGGTGTACATATGCTGCAGATCATTGATACCCACAGTACATATAGTATATATCTCATATTTATACTGTAATCAAGTTGGAGACTCTGCTGAGACCCCCCCTCCAGTAATTTTTATCTGTAATGACGGAATCTCGTGGGTGCTACTCTGCTCTTCCTTTGGAAAACCGGGAATGTTTATGTGATGGCAACACTACACACAATAGCAGAGTTCATAAGTCTATACCAATGAACCTGACTAAAGCTGCTAATCATCAATCATGATGCAACAGATATGACAGCACCTCTGGACATACAGCCATATGACCTGTGTTTATTGTAATCCCAGTTCTCCTGTCATACTCATAAAACCTCTATTATATAAAACTGAACTATGGTACAATATTTATTTTTATCATACAAGCGAAGAAGAGAGAAGCGGGGATCCGAAGAGAAAGAACTCCCACCTTTATAGAGGGCAGAAAAAGCTGTCAGATGGCGGCGGTCGGTGGGGATCTTGGAATTTTTGTTAATAGCTATCAGGGGGGCTGTTTTGATATAAGTTTATGGTCGCTAAAGCGACCATGAGCTTATAGCAGAAGGGTGAAAGCCACCGATGTATGGCATACTGACATGGCCAGCTGCAAGCGGTTGTGTTCTGCCATATGACATATATTGGTGGCAACAAAAAGGGTAAAGGCATTTTTTAAGAAATTTAAAAAATAAAAGGACGGGGTGGGGATTCACAGAGAGAAAAGGGAGAAAGAGAAGCTGGAGTTTTGCTTTAGAATAACCTTAGTTGGACAGATGAGATAGGTCTATCCTCAACCACTTTTGCTGTCAATTACTGCAGACTTCTCCCTGATTTACCCAAAGGGTTAATTAGATACATTCACATTGACATTCTCAGTTTCTTTTCTCCATAGAAAAGAGAAGAAACAGCGCCCACTTGCACAATATATTGGAAAAGCTTCGTGAGTTACAACAAGCACTTCCAGCAGTATGAGGCTCTCATCATCTCCTTCTAGGGAAACACAAGCAGTGCCTGAATCGGGTACATCACATCCATCTGGCTGTGTATAGCTACGCTTAGACCTGTATAACCTTATGTTACCCAATATTAGATTACATTAAATTAGATTTGATAGAAAATAGCTGCTCTGCTTTATCACATCTGGAGACACCATCAAATATACGTTGGGGGAATTCATAAAAAACTGGAGCAGACAGAATCTGAAGCAGTTGTCCATGACAACCAATCAGCATCTCCCTTTCATTTCATAATTCAAAGCTTAAAGGAGAACTATGGGGTTAAGGCTTTTCCCCATAGTTCTCCTTAGTGCAACGGGAGGACACAAACTAGCGCCCTCCCGTCACCCTAAGCTCAGTATACCGCGAGCTACCGCGGTATACTGTGGCGTCTCAGTATACCGCGAGCTACTGAGACACTGCAGCCGAAGCGGATCCTGACAATCATGTCTGGATCCGCCAAGCTGCGTGAGTGACAGCTGGCTCTGCCTATCTAGAGGCAGAGGCAGCTGTACCCGCCCCCTCCCCCGTCCGTTCCGACAGTCAGCGCCGGCGGATCGGAGCGGGGAGGGGGGGAATCCAGCCCCTCCCATCACAGCAGAGAGCCGTGACAGGATCGAGAGGTGAGCGATTGCCGGTAAGTGTTCGCTCACCTCCCGATCTACTGAGCCGACCTGTGACATTCTCATTGTCACAGGTCGGCTAGAACTATGAGGTGAGTGAAAAGCACTCACCTCATAGTTCTCCTTTAACTGAACAAACTGAAAAGACAAGATGATTGGTTGCCATGGGTAACTGCTCCAGTTTTTATAAATTCCCCCCATTGTGTTTTTAAACAAACCAAAAGCCTATCAATAATTTTTTATCTTAAGTGGTTGAAAAAGTAAAGAGTGCCTTCTCCACTGTAACGTGGAAACCAGTTAACTAAAGCTATAAACAGAACAATGGTCATGGGCTTCCAGGATAGGTTACAAACCTGCCTGAAATAAACCCGATAAATGCGTTCTGTTGATACAGTGACTGCTGACATTTTGTAACTTCCAACTATTGCTGGTGATTATGCCATTTCTGGGTCCTACCAACAACTGAGCCCTAAAGAAAGGGGAGATTTTTTTGGGGCCCCTCAAACGAGTTTGCACAATGTGTGATCCCGCTGTGAACTAGTACTGATAATAATGATATCTGGATTCCTAAACCTTTTGTTTGGCACTTTCATTGGACTTAACACACATGGATCCTCAACTCTGGACTCCATGCATTAAGGTGTGTCCTGTTGTGAGGAGAGCAGCTTTACTAGAGCCGCTATGTCCTGTTGTAATCTGACTGACTCACAAAAGTTTGAATCCAGAGCCTTGTTTTCAAACGTTTAAATTTGCTGAAGACAGGGACCCAAAGCCTGAACAATGGTTGTCAGTCTTATATTTCGCAATATGGATTACTTAAGTGCTATGCATTATTTAATATTGTAAACATTCTTGTTTTAGGTTGCTTTAATAAAAACAAACAAACATACAAAGTGTCTCATGATGGAGGATAACGTGTAAAATAGTAGGCTGCCAGTGTAATAGCTAATTCTGTGTATCTATCTATTGTACCTGCTGTAATGATTTCTGTAATTCTTTCTTCCTCCGAATCATTACGAATGCAATACACCATTCTAATTTTGCACGAATGCAGTTCCAGTAGTAATGGGCAAGTCCTGAAGACATAGAATTGAAGGATTTGATGCCGCTGTCCACTTACCCAAAATATGTTCCATCCCTGTCAATGAAGTATCGACCTTCAGAATCCGTCGGAATGTGATGTCGTCCACTAAACATGGCTGCCAGCATGGTGTCCTCATACCTCTGAAGTGTTGACAGTCTAGTGGTGAAGCACATGCCTCCAACATTGAGAGGAATCACTTCAGAAAGCTGCGGAAGCATAAACAATAACATACGTTCCATCAATTGGAAATGAACTGAAAAGCATAACAAAGCATGTCCATGAAGATGCACTGTCTAGTCAATAATATACTAAAGTATTAATGAACAGTATCCACAATATATATATATATATATATACACAGTAAAGATTTCAGTGCCGATACCGAGTATTTGGGTGAGCACGCGTACTCACCCAAATGCTCCGATACTTACCCCCAATATTGGAACTTCCAGTTTAGAGGGAGATTTCCTCTGACCGTCAGTGCCGCGAGGGAACATGGAGCCAATCAGCATTGAACCAGCCAAAAAGCATGGAGCCGGTTTCCCAGCCAATCAGGAAGCAGGGAGGCAGGTAATGACTGGTACCCGTACTCAATACCAAAAAAAGTGGTATCGGTGCATCCCTAATTATATATATACAATAACAAAGCATACATCATTAGGGGTCATACTCATGCACATCTGCTAACGTGGTGTGCATGATACAGTGTTCAGCATGTGACAAAGGATGTCACATTGGGGAAACTGGCCTTAAGCTGCATCTCAGGATGAACCTACACAGGAGCTCGATCAAGAACCACAAAGAGAATGAATATTGCACTCCAGTAGGACATCACTTCTCCCAGAAGGATCACTCCATCCAAAACCTCAAAATTAAAGTACTAAAAGGGAATTTTAAAAACTCTCATGAAAGGAAAACATTTGAGATGAAAATTATTTAACATTTCAATGCCATAAAGGAGGGACTCAATGTGGATTCTGGTTTTTCTGACACACTACCAGAATTTCTGAATATACAGAACATCACAATATTCATGTACGTCGAATATCTCTGATCTGTTTAGGGTTTATTTATCATCCTATGTTTGTTTGTTCTGTCTTTTGATTATCAGAAGGCATTCTTTACTTCCAGGTCCAACATTTATGACACCACACTCACCTCCCCTCCCTAACAACTTTCTCTTGCTTTAAGTGGTAAACGTTGTCATGTTCTAAGGCCCCATTCACACTGCGCGATTCGCAAATCGCGCATTTGTCACACGATATCGCACAAATGCTTGCATTGAGCAAGCTGGAATCGCTGCAAAATCTGCTCCAAAAAGGGTCCTGCTGTAGCGACGCACGACCCGCGACAGCAGGACCCTTTGCCCCATTGCCAAGCATTGGAGAGCGATATCGCGCGGCAAATAGCCGCGATATCGCGAGAATTACCGCGCGATAAAATCGCTCAATGTGAACGGGGCCTAACAGCTTTCTCTTGCCTCAACTGACAAACTGTCATGTTGATCAGTATTGCTTCTGACCTGAAGAAGAGAGGTTCGCTCTCGAAAGCTTGTCTGTTATATATTTTGTTAGTGCGATAAGAAAGGTATCATTGCACACTGCCATACTACGTTTTTTGTTTTTTTTTACATCTTGTCTACTGGACTAATACGGCTTACCCATTTATATTGCACTATATATATACCGTGTTTCCCCGAAAATAAGACAGTGTCTTATTTTATTTTTTTCACGAAAAAAGACACTAGGTCTTATTTTCGGGGGATGTCTTACCTGGCTGCAGCTGTCTGCTCTGCCGTCCAGGGAGTCACAAACAAGGTGGG